AAATCTGTATGAAAATTGACGCCACAAATTTACTGACATCATCAAAATGCTCATCCAGTCATTACACAGTCTCCAAAAACCGATAAGTGTTTAGGGAAAAAGTTTTTCTATCCATTTTTCTTTCTAAAACTATCTGATCTCAGTATATTTCTTGTAAAACAGAGAGGAAGAAAGAGAAAAAAAAAATTTTTATTAACAGGAAATTATGTACCTTTAGCACATGACGATGATCACTGCAATCAGTCTTTAAAAGTCGCGGATAATTATTGAATAGTTGCTGCACTATTCTTGCAATTTTTACTATATGCAGCGCTGTGTTCCAAAGGAATTTTTGTTAAAATTTGTTTGCTTCATATTTATTGAACGTTTTTGAATTCTGAAGCTTTTTTTTCTTTTTGGATTGATGAGACTTTTTGTACTTCGCAAACTCATCATTTTGAATATCTTATTTTTTTTTTTCTGAAAAATCTGGTTTTGTTGTTGTCTTGCAATTTTTTTCTATTTTTATGACGGGGCAAAAAAAAACGCTTTTAAATAATCTGTTGCTGTTATCACACTGAATATTGCCTGTGTAAAATGGACTTTCTCCTTGTCCTACGGTCAATCCTACTGATATGTTTAGTGGAAATTTGCTGGGTGGTATATTGTGAGTATTATTTTAATGGCTTTAGTTGAATCTCTTTTGTTGTAAGCTTCTTTTTTGTTTTTGTTTCCTCCTTGTTTTCATTTTTTCTCGATGAGCACTGATGAGACGTTTTATACTTTGCAAAAAAAACATTTGTTCAAAAGAAAAAAAACAAGTTTAAAAGAGATACTTATATTTTTTGAAATTTCTTTTATTTCTTTTTAGTTATCTTCGAGTTTTACAGCTGTCACTTTTTTCATGTTGTCTCTTTTTTTTTTCACTGTGTTCAATCCAACTGTGAATTTTAGAGATTTTAACGCAGATTTTATGAATGTTCAAAAGAACAGAGGAGCAGGGATAAATGATGATTCTCTTTAGTTAAGGAAGGAAAAAAATTTATTTCATTATGTTGTTTTAGTTGGTAGGTTCAAAATTGATTACGTTTATTTCCACATTTTTTTCTCTATTTTTTTCTTCTGCTGTTTATTATTCTGTTCAAAAAAAAAAAAGAGGAAGAAATAATCAGGCAAAATTATCAAAAAAGGGGGGAATTGACCTAAGAAGTTATAGCTCAAGCAAATTTTTTTTCTTTACTACTGAATAAATGGCATTTAAATGAACGGTAAAGAGGGAAGGGGGATACGGAGGAGGTGAAACAAGGAACGAGGAAGCTTAGTGGTGTTAGATGGAACTGATTCGAACAGTTAATTTCTTTTTTTTTACGTGATAACTTTTTTCAGACTGATTTGTTGGAATGAGCAGTGAAAAAATGGCATCATTTTTAGTGAACATTAAAAAAATGTTGAAAAAATTTTTTTGCAGAAAAAAATCGAAATAAATGCCAAAATTGTATTTTTGGGTGTTAGTTTCTTCTCTTTTTTTCTTCTTTTCTATTTTTTTCTTATTTAAAGACTAAATTTTATTGGTGTTCTCGATGTTGTTTAATTAGATTTGCATTGTTTTTTTTTTATTTTTTATTTTTTTCGGTTTGGTTTCAAAGCCGTTCAAGTCGATTTATTTGTTGTTTCCGACTTCAAAGCTTTGGACAGCAGAGTTTATGGTTGATGGTTGGATTGGTTGTTTGATTGG